CATGTTACTATAAATGCTTTAGGGCATTATCATTTGCTTTAATTAGATAGGAGAAATGACAATGGCTGAATGGAGATTTTTTCCTCTAACTACTACTATTAGTACTACAAATGTTCAATCGTCAATAACATTGATTATACGATTGAAACTTTTCTCTTTCTCTCTCTGTCTTGCTACTTTGACCTTACCAACACTAAATCTTCCGATGAGATGATTGTTCATCGCATTACTTAGAATGCTTGAAGCTCATTTCACTTAAATAAGAAAAATTTGATGATAGAGGATGGATTAAAACAAAATAAAAAAGAGAGTTCAATCACTATGTATATGTCACTATGCGAAGGTTAGCTAAATAGACATATGATGAGTGTATGTATACACAAAACGGTAAAGATAAAAGTCGTTTGAATCAGTCAGTAAATAGTAGAAAATGACGAAGAGAGAAGCAAGAAAAGGAGTGAAGGAGGTTTTTTCCAATTGAACTTACATCATTCGATGACGAACTCTTGTTTGGAATTGATGAATTCGATATAGGATTAGTTATAAAATTATTGTTATTATTATTATTATTTGTATTGTTATTTGCAGCAGCTGCTGCAACTGCTGCCATTGCTTGTTGTTGTTGAACAATTTCGTTCGGGTCCAAAAGAATGTAGGTGGCCATGGTATCAATAGTATGTATGTATATATATAGTACAAATCAATTATTGTGACGAATGAATCTATGTATATATCGCATGTGCACTGTGCGCTTCGGTATATGTGTACATTCGTGCGAACAAGTGAGCGGGATAGATGGAGAAGAACGAAATCTATCTTCTCTTTCTCTTATTTTTTCTTCTTCTTTTTTCTTTCTTTCCCTCTCTCTCTCTCGCTATTTCTCGAGCGAGCAAGAGAAAAAGTTTGAAATTCTCTCTCGTTTGCACATACACACATATATATATATATGCACTTCTTATTGCTCTCTTGCCTATATACTTACTATCGACAGCACATCGTCCTATGAAATTTCAGAATCGAAGAGTCAAACGAGCCGAGGAGACGACGACGGCAACGACAATAGAGAGAAAAAAAGCGAGCGATGGAGAGTAAGAGAAGGGGAAAAGGAGAGATCCATAAGATGGACACTGATGATGTTGGTGACTGAAAGAACGAGCAGTGGCGTTCACTGAGCTGAATTGAACGAGAGAATGATGGATGGTAGGACTCCCCTACAGGGGTGAGGGAAACAAAAGAGCGCTTATGAGAATGAGTTCGTTGTCAACAACATAAATTGCACTTTCATCTCTTTCTTTCTTTGTATGAATTGAAAAAAATTTATACGTCGACCGGCCACTACCGTCTCGACTACTGTCCATCGACGACGGTTAAAGGTTATCAATCGCGATAAATTTCTTTCAAGTTGATTTCAATCTAAAGAATTATTCGATAAAAACGCACAAGAATGACATCGTCTTTTAACATTTTCATGTATTTTACATTTATATAATGATTTGAGTAAATTACCGATCATCTGTTGTTTGTCTTCAAGACTATCNTTTATACGTCGACCGGCCACTACCGTCTCGACTACTGTCCATCGACGACGGTTAAAGGTTATCAATCGCGATAAATTTCTTTCAAGTTGATTTCAATCTAAAGAATTATTCGATAAAAACGCACAAGAATGACATCGTCTTTTAACATTTTCATGTATTTTACATTTATATAATGATTTGAGTAAATTACCGATCATCTGTTGTTTGTCTTCAAGACTATCATCATAGAACTAGCAAACAAACGATAGATAGTGTTTGCCTTCCACACGTTTGTTACTCTCTCTCTGTCTTCGTCATACTTCGTGAAAATGGTGTTGATAGAACGCAAAAGAATGTTGTTGTGAGCTGGTGCAATCAATCCTTCAATTAAATCGGTCTCATTTCTCTTTTTCTCTCACGTTTGCATATAGATATAGACATACATATGTATATCACTAACAACTCGTTATATTAGCTTCGTCTTCCTTTCCTTTGTTATTGTTGCTGTTGCCGACAGTGTGGAAAGAAATCAGGCATCTATAAAAGCCTGAATATCCTCTTTGATAAGGATAAGCCCTATATGCACGACTAGTATTATGTAAAATTATTCTGATCTTGCCGCGCAACCTTTTCTTTTTGTTTTGTGTTTAGAAGAACAAATAAGACGTCAATATAATGCATACCTTCGCTTTACTAAGAAGATCTTGAGTGGCAATGTTATCAAGTAAAACTAATGTGTTACCACTGGTGCCGTTAATGTTAGTCCCGCTGTTCATTGTGTCAATTGATGTGACAGTTGAATAAGAATGTGAATAGGGAGACGAGATTTGTTCGAATAAAAATAGTGTTAAACACACGCGTACATACAGAACGGCGAAGAAAATAAATCAAAAAGGCAGAACAGACTTCGTCACTTGAGGATATATAGTTAGATCTTCTTCTATTGCTCTAACTGCATCATGGTTAACCATCAATTCTTTCTATCTTGTTGTTATCAATGAAGAATAATCATCAGTAGAACGAAGTGAATGTATATGACGTCGTTAGCGAGGAAAGAAATGAGAACAGCTATAAAGCATTCTATTTTATTTTTCCGTTCTCCAGCTTTCTTCCTATTTGATTACTTTCGAAAATCTTTTTTTCATATTGAGTCACAACGCAAGAAGATAATGGAAACGATAGACTATGTTTGTTTTCTTCTTCTTTCTTCTCTTGTAACGCTTGTTAAATCGTCTTTTATCTCTTTCGAGTTAACCAAAGTCGAATAGTTCTCAGTCATCTTCTGAACATTCAAGCGGCAAAAGAGAGACAGAGAGAGAGAAAAAGGAAAAGGGACCGGATGCACACGCACGCTCTCGCAAATGATCCACTATTACTATCGTTTTTCTTAGTAGTCCATCGTACTGATTCATACAAATAACAAACTCATTTCTTTTTCTATTTCTATGCTTTCTCATCGTCCGACAATGAGTCTCGCGTATAAAAAATACATAAAACTGTCATCATTTACACACAGAGATGCAAGTATTCATATAGGAAGCAAAAGGAACCTAATCGAAAGATTAAGAAGAAGAATGTTCACTTACTTTCGGATGTTTCTGACGTGGATAGGCTGGCTTCGGATCAATCTAAAATGAAACATAAAGATCAGTTAAGATAAAAATGAAGATTTTGATTTCTGTTAATTGTTTCATGACAAAATCAAAGAAGATTTCTTCGGAGCTTATGACTAATTATAAAAATCTCTCAGTAAGAATTTTCAAATAGAAATTATGGTTATCTTGCTCGAGATAATGATCGTTTGCGTTCGAAGCCATTAAATATCAACCTAAATACTATGTTCGATGTATATTCATCTTGATAACGAAAGATTAATGATCTATAATTTGAACTTTTTCAAATTTAATCAACCGTAGGATACAGTCAAATGAGAAAGGACTCAGTTTGACAAAACACAAAGCAAAATAGATAATTGATCAATTGATTATCGTGGATATTTTCATTATATCTGATGTATATTTTAGAGTAGGAACTTTTTTTCTTATTTTTGTCATCTTGAAAGACAAAGAATTCCATTTTCCTTTCTCATTCTGTTTCTAGTTTAAAATTCAGCAGAAAATGGAAAATTTGTTAAATAAACTTTTTGTTTCTCACTTCACTTCCTGTAAAGTAGAAAAACAACGTTCTTGCCAGCAAAATGGTGAAAGAAGAAAAGTTAACATTACGCACAAGACATATCAATTGTTTCTATTGTATAGCCGTGTCATTTCTCATACTCGCCATTGTTCTCTTTGCACTTTCATCCCAACAATCACAAGCATTGGGCAATCAACAAAATCGAACTCCGGTTATTATTAGTGCATCCATCATCCTAATCTTAGCAATCATCATTTTCATATGGGTGACTTTCTATGCTGTCCGATATTTTCGTGCAAAAAAACAAAGAGCTTTGCAATATTTGAAGAAACCCGGCAATGAACCGGCTACAGAACGCACAACAACGACACCTGTCATAGTTTTTAATAATGCTGCCTTCACCAATGATGATCCGATAGCAATTGATAGACCTAATCATCGTCCGACAACATCTGTTTAATGAATAAGATAAAAATTAGCACGAAGACATGCACAGACAAATCATGCTTCTGTCAGCATGATCATTTTTCATGATCAAATAGAATATGTAACTGTGCTTCTTCTGTTTCTTGTCTTTCTTCATTTTTTTTTCTTCTTTCTATCGTTTTTCATCATAGTTATCAGAAGCTCATTTTTCTTCTTATTGAACTCATTGCACGCATTTCCTATTTGCCTATTACGCGTGTGTTTTCCAGATAAATATATCTCAATTATGAGCTCTTTTATTCCAATGATGAAGGATTAGATATAGAAGAAACAAAGAAACGCAAGCGCTATTCACATTAAGTGTTCGAGTAATAGTTGTTATTTTTCTTCTCGCCATATTTAAAATATACATGTATATATAGAGAGAAGAAAGACTTGTGTTCTCTCAAATTTTCTTAAGTGGGGAGATGGAAAAACTGAGGCATCATTCGTATGTGTGTGTCTAAGAGGAAGAAAGAGAGAGAGAGAAACTTTTGATGTGTATGATAAATTAGGAGAATAGAAAAACTGAGCAGTTATTTCTGTGTTCATTGGAAGCAAATAGTCATATTTCCTAGAACGGTCAATTGGGAAGAAAAAGAAAGATTTTCTTTCATTTTTCTCTCCTTTTAATAAACCTCTGATATATAAGAAGAAAAAGAGCCTATTCTTTCTTTTTTTACATCATTAATTAAACGGAAAGAAGAAGTAAGTACTAAGTCATTTCGACGACGTTTAGACGAGAAATAAGAGAGTTTCATTTAGTTTTTCATTCCAAACTCAATCAAATCATCAGATGTCAAAGCAGTCATCCTACAATTGGGAAGAAGCGTCTTCATTTCATCATAATATCTCCATTCGAAATGAATATTTCGGCTTTGCTTCGATGTTTTGTTTGTTTACATTCCTGGCATTGTTTGTAACCATATTTCTCTCTATACTGGCACATAATTCCTTTTATCACGAATCAGAAGTAATTCAACGACGTTTTATTCCTTATTCTGTACTTGGCTCAATTAGTCTTCTTTTATTTCTCGTCTTTTTCATCGGTTCAGTTGGTTACACATGTAAATTACTGAAAAAGGCTCCTTTGAAACAATCCTCATCTTCATCGTCTTCGTTAAACTCACCAACAAGCGCATCGCGAAAGACGACTGATTCACTTTCAAAACTCAAATACAAGTCCGCCGATCCCTTTCCACTAAATACAGATGAATCTTATTACACAAGTACAAAAGTCTTCATGGAACAGAAATCTCGTAATGCAAGTATTTCTTATCAAGCGTGTCAAACAGACGTTTAACAACCAACCATCTCTTCACATACCTGTTTTTCATCGAGCATATGAACATCTTTGGCAAGAACATTTTCAACTGAATTCGCATCTTTGAATGTAATGAAACCAAATCCCCTAGAAAAACAATGCATTGCTTAATATAATTCGAGAATGACTTTGTCGTACCTCGATCGTTTCGTGATGGCATCTTTCATAATCATACATTCTAACACTTCACCGAACTGCGTGAAATAGTTCTTCAAATTCTCTGAAAACAAAATATGAAATAAATATTTGAACAATCTTTTCTATTTTATCCAACACAACAAATGCTCCCCCTGTGTATTTAACCAAATGTCATTCATCATTTTATTGAAAATTCTCCAAGGAATATTAAATATATATGATAAAGTCGTTTTTTCTTGTCGAAAGACTTTTACTCAAGTTTTTTTCTTGTTAATTTTTCAATGTCTAATAACGTGTACTTAATCGTGAACGAATATGTTAAATGTTTGTTTTATTATTTTGTCATAAGAAAATATTTTGTGGTGTATCGTCAATAATTTATCAGAAAAAATAACTTTCACTGATGAGATTTATTGGATTATTGATGAAAATCGCTTGACATAGGAAACAAAAGTCTACCTATTCGCTAGTCATATGCATACGAATCAATATTCTCATAAGTAGAAGTTAATATATGTAAATGAATGTCATTGAACTTTGAGTATATTGACGCAAAGTGAAGGTGAATGCTTCCTCTACAGTTAATTTCAAAAGAAAACCTACCTGGTGTTGTTTGCCATGAAAGTCCACCAATAAACATTTTTCTGAATGGAATAGAAATGATTGCAGAACAAAGAACAGAATGGTCAATACTTACCTATCGAAGGGTTTGGGTGAATCTGATCGATCACTGTCGTCGGATTGCTCGTCTTCACCATCATCAACATATTGACTAAAATTAGCGAAGTTAGGAGGAGTTTGAATGCGAAAAACATGTTGTGTTTCTCAAGATGCCCGTCAGCATCGATGAGATTTGACATTTTGACGGTCTGCTAGCAATTAGTATACTTCTTGAATATATTCATAACAAAAGAATGAAAGAAATACTAAAACAAAACAACAAGAGAGGCTGTTCAAAACACTTTTCTCATCTTGTATATCGCACCGAAGTTCTTTCTCGTTCAAGGTCATTTCCTTTTTTGTTTGTAAATCAGTGAGACTTTTTCTTTATGATTCGATTAGAATATGAACTACGAACGATCGTGTTTAGATCTATTGAAGTGTACGTGCGTACAACGAATTGAATCTAATGAAAAGGTTTCCGATTACCACATGTAAGCAAACATCGGGTTGACGTCGAAGTAAAGTAAAAAGTCAAATCATAAAAATAAAAGAGCAACGTATCAATTGGTTCGATCGATTATGTCTTTGGCAAAAAAAGAGAACAAGGTGATCTCTGTGAAAACATTTAAACAACAAGAATGACTATCGTAGCTAGAAATAAGATGCTTGTCAATAGTTGTCGAAGTTTATTGGTTAACCACAATATTTTGTCATGTTTATATTTTACTTATCAAATCATATGTCAATAAACGAAAAAGAAGAGATTAGAATGATTGAAAGTCTAGTATGGAGAAACCTTGTATTTAAATAGAGACATCGGAATGTCTTGATTATCTATATATTCAAGTTCAATTTTCGTATGTCCCTCATATGACACGTCTATGTCGTGCTCAATCATCGTACTACAACAGATCGACCTCATTTTTTTTCCTAATATCGACGCGACATATACATAAACGCTTCTCGTCTATAATCTACTGGTAAGTTGCTGACACGTTAGAACCAAATTGTAGATGAATATGGAAACGAGTCGAAGCGCTATGTATAGAACACTCATAATCATCTTCGAGTCTTCTTTCTTCGCTTCTACTTATAACGCCTCCACAACCATATGTTCTTAGAGCTAATACCAACAGACGTAGTACATGTACTAGCGAAAGAAACGACGATAAGATAGTCGAAAGTGCTATTAGTGCGAGCGGATTTGATATGCTTTAGACTTCCTTTTTTGTTTTCTCTTACCCGTTGGATTGATACGACGGAGATCTGCCATTTACAGGTGGAGAATAGTAGTGGGTTGCAGGTGGATATCGATAAGGTGATCTGGACGATACCGGTAGATCATAATGATGAGATGGAGATGAGAGTGAGTGATGCCATGTTGGTGATCCGTATTGATGATGTGAATAGGTCGGTGAATAATAGGAGTACTGTGACAGAGGCGGCACCACAGAGTCTTTCATTCTATACTATGTTCTACAAAATAATGATTGCGAATAGATGAAAGTTGTAAAAAAAAGAAAAGAAAAAATGCGTTCGTGTTTAACGTGAGAGGATAGGCACGTGCGTAATGGCATTATCTTCTTCAGCATCGAACGGTGCGCAAAACTAGAACTTTTCTCAAGAGAATAAAGAAAACAGCGCACATCGACATTCGTTGAATGGTTATACACACACACATATACACGGAAAAAGCGCGACAGAAAAAAAACTATGACGAGAAACAGGAGAATAGGGTAAGGAAAGGGAACTTTTTCGCTTTTTTCTCGCCCTCGCATCTATTGTTACATTTGCTGTGCTTGACAAGTCATCCTTTTTCTACTTAATACCTCTCATTTTTTTTCTTTTAGCCGGACAGCTGATGATAGTCTATCTAGAACGATGAGTTTTTAGCTCTACTAACAATCTCATATAAATATGGCGTGCTCGTAACTCGCATTCTGCGTCTGCATCGTTCTTGTTGTTGTTGTTTATTTCTCGTAGTGGGTATCGATAGAAGTAGCAAAAAAAGAAGGGGGAGATAGACAGAATAGGAGAGAAAAAGTAGAACGAGAAAAAAAACCGAAGGACTTGATGAAGATCGATGGCAAAAAGAATATATCCGTTATTTTCTTTTTCATTCTTGCTTAACGTCAGTCCGATCAACATCATACAATACCAAATAATCAATTCTCTTATCATCGTCATCAACACGAACGAACGACAAGCCCTAGTCTAGTACTACTAGAAATAGTGGTAGTGCTAAAAAAGTAATTGCTTAATCGCTGTTTCTATTAGGTAGTTTCTAAAAGATTCATCTTCTCGAAGCAAAACTTATCAATGAGAAGAGTAATAATAATAAAATGATATGAGCACTAGGGAAAAAGAAAGAAAAAAACCGAAAAAGAATGACATCATTAGTCAAATATTACAACGATTTGACGAAAATACTTGTGAGTTTAATCAATAAATCGGCTAGCAATAATTCGATGTTGAAATACAAGAAAACATACGAACAGGACAATCATCGTCACCATCATACCAGCAAGCTACTCGTCATCAACATGCAAGAATAATCCAATTTTTACCTAAATGTCGTCATGACGCCATTCTTGGGTACGAACCCATTGATTCACATTAGAATCATCCTTACACCTCAAATCATTTTCTTCGTATTACGACTGATTGATCAAGTTCGAGAAAAGTTGCCCATTCACATTACAGATCAGCTCGTATATGAAATATTTTTTCCATGACGCGACAAACTCTCTCTCGTCCTCTAGATGTCGTTGGTTGACAATATTAAACCATTTCTTACCTTTCAGTTGAAGAATTAGCAGAAATAAGCATTCAACTTGATTCGATTGTCGACATACTCGTCGTATTCTTCTACCATCAAATGATCGATATGGTTATTTGTTTCTCATTAATAATATTTCCATCACTTTCTTCTCTATTCTGTATGTAACATTCACTTGATAGGATCACATATACCGATGAGAACATCATTGTCGATCGATCTGTATTGACGAATTAGATTGACCTTTTCTTTGTTAGCGATCTACTGATAATCGAACTGATAATAGTAGGTGGTAATCTTTTAGATACAGATCATCAGTAGACATGAAAGCAATGGATGATATTCATTCCTTTTCATATCGATTACCCATGAGGGTAATGAAAATGAATTAGAAAATGTAATAAAAGACTTATTAATAGATGAACAATACCTTGACAATAATTAATGATGTATCGAGTGATGTCTCGTACAACATGGTAAAAACTGATTGCTCAAAGACTTTTTTCGATTGTTTGTTATTGAAAGGTTACTTTCACATTTGAAAAACATTGTTTCATAATTGATCGTCAAGGAAGTGATGACACTTGTGATCTGTCTGTTCGTTTTTTGCTGATCTCTCATTGATTTTGATTGACAATGATGTTGAACGAAGGCGTTAACAAGTGTAATATTTAAATTTCAGGGTTATTGAAAAACATTTCATCGACATTTATCTCAAAAATCTGTTCAATTTGTTCCTTATCAGTAGAAAATGAATGTGACAATGAACACGTCGACGAACATTATCCAACTTCTCATCCTTATTTTTACATTTTATCTTTTTCTATTCATTGAAGAAAGTAGATTCTTTATTGAAAATTATTGTAACTCTATACGATTTTATTTTTCGTTCAAGTTTCATCCGTCTCGGGTTATTGTTATCAATGTAATTCTCGAAATCCATTATGTCGTCTTGATGTCAATGTTACATTGAGAGGCGATGGAACACCTTGCAATGGGCAATGTTATACGCGTATTAATCGCGATGATGAAAGTACAATCTATCGAGGATGTTCCTGGGAACATGGTTTCATCAATTTACAAAAGTCGAATTCACTCATTGTGCAAGGCAATTCAGTTTGGATCTTCTGTAATAGACCATAGTAAGTTCTTTTGTGTACCATCATTGTACTTGACATGTTTCCAAAATTTTCAGTTGTAATTTCGAAGCAACAGCGCTTTTGAATAGTAAGTTTGGTCGATAGTTGCTAAATATCGAAGAAAGAATATCAATTGGTTGTTCTTAGATGTTTGTTATCAACCGATTTGTAGTTTTTTGAAATTCCCAGAAGATTGCAAACTACCAAATGCGGATATAACATGTGGACGCTTTTGTGGAAATGTCCTGTGCGGTTCCCGCCCAATCCGTTATCGTATGCCTCCTTATCGACATCGTACTCGCGTTCGCTATTCTAATCGTATTCGACAAGGTCACCGTCGGAGACCATTATCTGGCTGAATGCCGAATCTTCTTCTGTAACATTAGAATGTATGACGATTATCTATTTTGAATAAAGAGTAAAATTTCGAAACGTTCTTCTTGTGTCACGGAACGCCATCTGGCTACTGTCGAAAGAAGGGATTCTAGCTAAGTAGTGAAATTCCCTCGGTAGGATACATCAACAAAGACGAACTTGTTTCATTTTGATATACTTATTGGAGTTTGCAATAGTCGAGTTTCAAGGACATAATGATTGATTTTGCATCTTGCACATATCGTTTTAGTGCACTGTGTTTGTCTTTCGTTCGTTGGTTATTGATTCGATCGTATATTTATTGCGTTTTCTGTAGGCGAAGAAGACACGTCAGCGAAAGAAAAAAAAAGGAGAGATACGCTTTATCATATTGTTTGTTTGCTATAGATCCACATGTATAGGTATATTTAATAAAAATAGTAAGTATATGATTGCATCGTGTTTTTGTCTTTTGTTCAGCTAATTACGAGATGTTATAGAACAAAACAATGAATGTTGGCATAGCACAAGGTGAACGAAATCCAAATAGTTCATGGCTAAACAGTCGAGGTGTTTGGCTCACATATATAATTCTTCTTTTCGTCCTGCATTTCATTCTTTTGAGTATACCTTACATCACAACACCTGTAGCCTGGACATTGACAACAACAATTCATAATATTGTATGTAGATCGGAACATTGTGTCGAAAATGAATGAGATTTGTCTTTCTTTTTAGTGCAGCTTTTACTTATTTCATCTAGTTAAAGGTGCTCCATGGGAAACAAGTGATCAAGGTCGAGCACGTCGTTTTACATTTTGGGAACAAATTGATAATGGCGTCCAATGGACAGGTACCCGAAAATTTCTTCAAATTCTTCCCATTATTTTGTAAGTCTACAGACACTTGAATGAAATGTCTTATCTTCGCATTTCTTAGATTCTTCATTGCGAGTTTTTATACAAAATACGATCGAACACATTTTGTAATTAATTTAGCCACTATGTTACTTGCTGTTGTTCCGAAATTTCCAATCTTTTTCGGAGTTCGTTTATTCGATATCAATCGGTATTAACAAACAATAATGGAAACATTTCGATATTGTAAATGCATATTTTTCAGTGAATTTTTTCTTGTGATAATATAAAGCAAATATATCGATTGTTCGTGTTCTTTTTTTTCTTTCTCTCCCGATTATTTTCGTGATCTTTCAAAGACAAGACAAAAAAAAATGAAAAGAATTAAATTCTGACCTTGTGTGACATATGTTTGTATTCATGAATATTCATCATTGATGTTTAATAAAGGAAAAAATCGAAGTTTTCTTTTTCAAGTTCAGTCGATTAGCAATGAGAAGATTTCGATGACAGAAGATTAATGCAGTAAATGTCAGATGTCTATACAGAGTTGCGATTCCTTCGAAAATGGCAAAGAATAATTGATCCATTACGCGGATGGGAACTCAATACGTGTACAAATCTATTATCGAGTTCTATCGAAGACTTCATAACAATGTGTCGTCATATGTGTTATTTATCGACATTGTTTCATAATGAAATCGTAAGTCGAATCACACTGGGTCCTCGATCTTTTTCTTGTACATTATTCAAAATTGAATCATTCGGAAGACTTCGGCATTCAGAAAACGTTTTGTTATGATATTACAGTTGAAAAAACTTTGTTCATGGCGCTGTTCAATTCGTTGGTTCTGTCTATCGACAGTGAGAAATGGTCTCTGTGTACAGAAAATGATGTAAACTTTGTCCACTGCCTATGAATTACTCTTCGCATGTCTCTGCTCAACACTAGGGTAGAGAATTCTTCAATTACCAGCAAAATCAGTGGTACCATTAGAGAAAAAAAGTAGAAATCTGTTCGTGGGGTTTGAATCTAAATTGATTGAATAGAGTATAGACACGCTGGAACACCGTCAAAGATGAAAATGGTTAAAAGTGTCACACTACTTCGAGTTAATTCAGAGGCCCGTTTAGAAATTTGTATTGATCGGCGAACTTTCACTGATGAGCTTCTCACCGAGCTCGGATCGGTACTTGTAACGAAAAAATAGTACTTAATGAATAAAATTTTTGTCTATTCGAAGTAGACCCCACATATATTTAAGCTCACTTGGTTTATCTCGATGAGTTCTGTCACTAGCATTGGTATACTTTCCATCCGGGTCCTTTATATGACAGAAAGCCGCGTTAAAATCCAAAAATCGCCTGTACTTGAAAGTACATACATTTTTTTCCAGCTTAACACAGTTCTTTGCCGTATGAATGACCCGGACGGAAAGTATACCAATGCTGGTGACAGAACTCATCGAGATAAACAAAATGAGGCTAATAAATGTGGGTCTATTTCGAATAGACAAGAATTTTATTCATTAACCCCTTCACCGTTAACGACGAGTATACTCGTCAGAGCAATTTTATGGAAAAGACAACTACTGTAATTCCTTAATTCTGTTTTCTTTGTGCGCTATGGACCTGCTTTAGCATCTTGCACTTACTATAGCTAGCTCTACGAATCCTGATGTTTCATATGGACTATGTTCTTCGCTCTTATTTGTCTATGAATTAAGAAAACTTAAATTGCAAAAATTTTACTAAATAGTTGAAAAAAACTTAACGGTGAAGGGGTTAACATCCATAGCAGTACTTTGATTCATTATATTATGAAATAATTGACAATTGAAAGTTGATTGATGAAAATTAGTAGCTTTGCATTGAACTTGTTGTAAACATAATATTTGGCATTGACGACCAGTTGATGTCGTAGTTGTAACATAGGGTAAACAACTTATTGTTACACACTGAAATTGCCATCCATTGAACATAGACAATATAATTGATTTTGTATCTTGTGTGACTGATTGTTTAAGAATAACAATCAAATAGAATACAAGTAATCGTCTCGAACTCATAACTATATAGTCAAAATTTCGCGTATTTGATACAGTGAGAATGTTGTGAAAGTCAAAATAAAACCAATAATGTAACTGCTGTAGATGAATACTTTTTCATACTTTTCCTCTTTCCTTTTTATTAAACCTTTAAAGAAGTCATGAAATAAGAGAAAGAACATATTCTTTTAAAATATTGAGTATAAATGAAGATTTTAGCATAACATTGGTAATCATGGAAAACATATGTGAGACCAAAACAAATCTATTCTGATCTTTACAGAAGAACATCAAATCAAAATTCCTTCTAATTCTATACTATAGTTTGCGTTCTGATCATTTATTTTCGAAGCTACAACAAGATCTTCAATCTTCATTTATAATAGAATTCAAATTATAGATCATCTCATGAAAGTGGTAAATTCTTTTTCTTATTGTAATCGTATTATTATTCATGTATCTTCTATTTAAAATAAGTGAACAAAAAGGATTGATTTCTTCTTCGGTTTTGAAAATTGTAAGAAAAATTCTATTTAATATACTAAAAATGAAGAAAAAGAACTAACTAATGAATTTTTCTCTTAGAACGTAGAGAATTATTGTTTTTATATGTTAGATTTGTTCCTTTTCTGAAAGAAACTGTTACACAACGGTTAAATCATCGGCTTGAAATTCAAGAAGCAGACCCGAATAACACGAGAAAGCTAACCCAGGGGTAATTTGGGTCAGGGACATCGAAGCTGAAGTTAGTTTTTCAAAATTCCCATTCACTAACGAGTTAATCAGCTAATTACCGAACCATCGAATTATTGTATCGAGTAAGGGTTGACCGAAAAGTAATTGAGATCGAGGAACACGAATCCAGTGTTAGTTTTTTAAAACAATGGATGGAACCTTTCAAAACAATTCGACCTCAAAATTTTGAACATGTCGTAGTATTTTGAAAGATCAAAGAAAGAGAAATTTATTTTATCAAGAAGTTATAAAGAAAACTCATGTACTCATTTCGAAGGTGAATCAAAGAAGAAATGAAATAGTGAAGGTGTGTTCATAGACGACAATGTGTTTGTTTGAGTGACTTACGTTAGATGAAGCAAGATTAATAATGATAAATCGGTTATTGAGAAATATCAAGTGAATTGATCGATCAATGTTTTCAAAACGTGTTTATTTTTGCTGTTACCTTTCAAGAACATGATGAAAAATAGTTTCCAGTATGATAAGACTCGAGCTTCGATGGATCGACGTCTATTCGACCTACTTTGTTGAAGAATCTTGTTATTCTTTCAGAAAAGAGTCAGCAAATCTAGAGGATGAGCCTTACTTATATATGACTTATCGTTCGAATACGTTCGTAAAATATCTCAAAGTCAAGAGAATGCATTGTATCTTAATATCAAATCTTGCCAATCCATTCGATGATGATTCATCTTCAATATTCACGTTTCTTTGATGTATTCCTGTCAATTTCCACATTTACAAGTCATTTACATACTTTTTAGAACTTTATGTTGCTAATTTGTTTTTTTCACTTCACGAACATGGTCTTTTTGAAGTGAAGTGAAAATGATCACCGATTAAAACTCAAAAGAAGGAAGTGGGAGGAGACGATCGAAGTGGCACATATATGTTCTTTCGACAACGTCACGTTCGTCAGCTGTCATCCAGAAGAGAAACGAAATGTTTGTTCTTTTCTCTTTCCTTCTAATCATCTCTTCTCTTATGTCGGGTTCAACTTCAATTGAACTATTTGTCAAAAGCTTAGAACACCATCGTTTGCACAATCAATCAAGCTATTCAGCTTTGAAAGAGAACGAATCACGCATGTCAAACGACGATAATCGTATCAAATCGATGCTTTTTCGTTTCTCTCTTTACGCTTGATTGCTAGCCAGTTGACTCGAAGGCGTGTCCGACTTCTTTCAACATCAGAGAAGTCGAGATCAGCACCTCATTCATCTCTATAAAGATCAAGAACGAAACAAAATCAATGAATGACCGCACTTTTGTCACATCATCAGCAGCAATAGAGAGAAAGAGAAGTCGTCCTATATATATACACGAGCAAAAAACGTTTCTTCTTCATCATTCAACATGACATCGACTCCAATCTCTTGCACATCGGACTATTACTCAAGCAGCGATATTGATTACGAAGACAATGATTTCGATTTTGATGTTGTCAAAGCTGCTCCTTCAAAACATTGTTCGATCGATGAAACCAACTTTACTATTCGTAATTTTGCTGAACATCATGATGATTTTCAATCTTCGTCGAAGATTTCTTCCACAATCAAAGTTCAACAATCAATTCGATTATTCGAGGTAATGATTAATACAAAGCTTTGTTTCAAATACACTTTTCTCTCTTTTATTAGCTGACAGAGAAATTTCGTTTGAACAAGGAAGTTTTCATTCGAGCGAATGCAATTCTTACCAAATACCTTCTTGTCACATCAACAGACGACATCGATGAATCCATTCTCGTCGCTTGTTTATCATTATCAACAAAATTAAGTCAACATTCAAGTCCACGAACCTTCTGTGATAACATTCGCATAGTACGAACTGCATTTTTTCGTTTCTTTTCTTTACCTTGCATTTCGTTTAGTCGGATGAAAATACGATATGCAACACACTTGATTGGGATATTGATGCAACGACACCAATCAATTATATTGAAACAATTCTTGTACATATAATAGATCCTTCGATAAGACATCAACTTCGTGAAATAGCGAATGAATTGATTGTACTCTGTTTAACCAGTAAGCATCTCTCTCTCTCTTTATTTACGTTAAGAATCATGTGAATTATTTAGATGTTCGCTGTGTTGATTTATCGAATATATCGTTGGGAATTGGTTGTTTATTAATGGGAAGCGAACTTTTACAATGTGGGGAGTTGATTCCCAAAGAAATCTTTGCTTTCGATCAAGGAAAACATGCTTTATTCGAGGTATGTAGATCTTTTTCATGCATTTGAATGACTTTTAAACAGAACTTCATATAATTTTAGACGTCATTGATTTACATTCGTCAAGTTCTCATACAAATTCTCAACCGATGATCTCCAACGAAGAAATATCATTGGAAAATGAACAGTAATTCTTAGAGTGTATTTATATAAAAGATGTTTATTTAATTGTATGAAATAATGAATAAATCTCGAATGATTTCCTCACTTAACTTATGTATTCTATAAGAATGAGAACTGTATTGAATTCCGTTCGAAATGAATGTTTATTACACAAAAAAATCAGCGATTAGAAAGCGAATATGACCATTCAAGTTATCTCATGTCATTCCCAGTTTCTAAGACATCATGTATATAACCAAAAACACAGAGTTCGTCATTGAGAACTTGTTTATTTATAATGCTTATCAATTCCTGATTCGATGACTGTTGTTGTTGTTGTTCTTGATGATGATATAGTAACATCAATTCATACAGATGCCATAATGAAGGATTTGTATAAAGTTGTAACTCTTTGGCTTGTTGCGGTAGACATGTTGTCGGTTGTAGTTGTAACGAAAATAGAATCAAAATCTTGACAAATTTGATCGACAATTGATAGATTTGCTTTTTTATTGTGGGTTTGATAGTACGAAAGAGAAAACGTGCTAAGCATTGACCAAAGGATATGAACAATGTTAACCAACATAGACCTGGACATTGACCATTGTCGAGTTCCATTTTATGGAAATTTTCATTATCATAGATGAATAGTTGCAGACGATAGATCGCCCAAAGAAATTTCATATAATCATCTAAACTGTCATTTTTGTCGAGATAAATGAGTGAATCAAGATGTGTTATAAGTGTCGTACAGAGACAGCGCTGAGATGATCGATCTTCATTAATTGGCACTGAACATAACCAATTGGGTTCGTCAGGTGATGCATCGAGTATTGAGAGAACAATATCTGTTAAATATTGATATGGATTCATTTGTTTTTCTTGTTGCTGATCAAGAATGGATATAAGAAATGAACAGAAACCTTTGCGACGTTCGGATTCATGTGTTGGCCGAGCTTTGAAGTGTGATGTATAAAGTGTTAGTATGCGATTGAATAACGCATAGGAAGATTTGTTTGTCATGGAGTGTGAGAGAAAATATTTTAACATGGTTAAACATTGCCCTTTGGCTGTATAATAGGCTGTGTGATGGTCCGCTGGTAGCGGACATGGAATTTGACTACTGTCGGTAGTCGAACGCTGAGATGAACTGTCGTCCATGGGTTCCGGGTCCTAGAAAAATCGCAGGGAAGTTTTCAAGAAGACTCTCATCTGTGATTCTACTTGTTGTTTTTTAATTGTTGAAGTATTTTCTTGTTTGTTCAATGATTCAGTTGACTTAACCGTATTCAAAAGGAAATGCGAACAAGCGTCTAAGATCAACATCAGTTGTTCGGTGCTCAAACTTTGTTGTTGCTGTTGGTCGTTATTATTCGTTGTTGCACGACTTTGCTGGTTGTGATATAACTGTAGAATATTATGAATCATTTGGTAAAACGCTGTCATTGTAATGAGATCAATTCCAATGGTTAGATCTTGTTGTTTTAATTTGATCAGAGTCGAATTTTGTGGTTGAAAGAAGATGACATCGACTAATGTTTGCCAAACATGTTGAATAATCGATTGAGGTCGAATACGTTCGAGTATCACCTGTAAACTCGACACCGGTATTGTAAATGAATCAATTGTTCGTGTTCGTAACAATTCATACGCGGAAAATAACGTTAATTGAGTTTGCAGAACACGTGATGGATTCGAAGTTGAAGTCGATGATTGTTGTGGACAATCAACTTGTGGTTTATCTGAACGTAGACGAGTAACTTCACGAAGAAGACGGTTGCTTGTTTCTTGACTTTCGTGGAAACGCGTCTCGAGTGTGTGATAACGCGTCTGCAATTCACTACGTTCACGTTCGTTGAAGGTAAGTTGAGATTTACATGTTTCAAGTTGCGCTTTCAAACGCTGTTCACGAGCACTGGCTGCTTCATCTTGTTCGGTTTTCAAAAGACACTTTTCTCGCGTTCTGAAACGAGAAAATTCAAATGGGATGAATGAAAAATGATCTAAACTTACAATCGAGCATTCTTTTCGGTTAATAATTGATTGTTTTTTTCCAAAATAATTATTTGACCTTCTTTCATCAGCAACTTTCTCTCAAGTTCCATTTCTTTATTTACTGCTGGTGTCCGATTGTCTTCCGGTACCAGTGGTTGAAGAACTGACTGAGTAGAAAATACCGGCGCTTGTAAATGTGTTCGAGAAGGATTTTGACTGGGCTGTTGATAATCATAATTAATTCGTTGTTCTACTTGAGTCGCAGAAAATAACAGTTCATCATCAGTCATTTCAAAATCATCCATCATGGATGACGCATTGGCTGGTGCTGCTGACGGTCCTCCGATTCCATTACTGGATTCATCCTGATTTTCATCAGTACGAAGACGTTTTATCGGTGGATACATGATTGAAGTCGAAATGAAAGTTTAAACCTAGAAGAAAAGAAAATGATAGAACCAATGAACGGTTTTTTCTTTCCTTCGATTCGATAGAGGCAAATTTGATTCAATTTCATTTCAAAATGAAATACTTGTGATCGTCAGATACATTTGTGTATTTTCTTCTATTTCCGATTTATATTTTGAAATAATAACACAAGATAACGATGGAATACTAAATCTCTTTCAGATCATTGCAATGGCTTCAGTCTGTGACGTAGTTATTGAGAGCATTGGAAACCTAGCAAATACAGGACGTAATGAACTAAGAATTTATCAAATATTGTCGTTGATGATGACATTCATGATGTGATACACGAAAATCGAATCATGAGTAATATGAATGAATGGTTTTACCATCAAATTCACAAATATCATTAATAAGAATTTCGATATAGACGTCGTTGTGACAACTAATGATTCAATTGTTTGGTTTGGTTTTTTTCAATAAACGGAGATCATTAGTTAAAATAATCCGAAAAGATTTGTTTCATTAAACTCATATTCATCTGGTGCTAATTGACATCAAGTTGGTTTCTGCAGCAGTTTGTTACGACCTTCAAAAAGTCTTTTCCCCTTCTTATGTTTATCTTTATTCATTTTGGTGTTGCCATTTCCAACGATTATTTACATATAGATCAAGATTTCGAATACCATTTTCAAATCAATACATGATGATAAACGTCTTCATTAGAAAGATTCTTTCCTTGACATTTGATGTATTTGAAAAACGTTCGTCTAGTGCAATTTTTCGTTATCTTGTATGAATAATAATCGCACATAAATATGTGGTAAAAACAATCATAGATCTTCTTTTTCGATTCCATAAAGGACAGAAAAGATGGCTGCAAGTGAAGTCGCTTCTCCCGAGGTTTGAAGAGAAGTTTTTCTCGTATGTTGCTCTTTTTCTATGAAGAATATCTTTAGCGTAAACAATGGTCAAATCCAGTAGAATTCTTTTTAACACTAGTTGCATTTGGTCAGTTGCGAAATGAATATATTCGATGATTGGTGGAACTGAAGTTCGATTTGTATCTTTTAGCTGTTGGTCTAGGCAATGTTTGGCGATTTCCGTATCTTTGTTTCAAAAATGGTGGAGGTACGTTGAAGACTAAACTAATGTTCATTGAAAAGTTCATCTCATTCGTAGGTGCATTCCTTATTCCTTATACATTAATGTTAATCTTCATTGGTGCTCCAGTATTTTATCTCGAATTAACTCTAGGACAGTTTACTAGTGCTGGTCCACTTGTTGTTTGGAAGATCAATCCTTTGTTACGAGGTCTGTTATTATTTCTTGAATAGAATCAACGAGACGATCATGGATTCTTTTAGGTATTGGTTATGCATCATTGGCAACAAATTGTTTCTTAGCACTTTATTATAATGTTTTGATTGCCTATTGCTTTTACTATTTGGTTGCTTCGTTTCAATTGATTGTTCCTTGGTCAACTTGTGGAAATTGGTGGAATACAGCTCTATGCACAGATCAGAAAATGCTAGCGAATATTTCTCAGAGTGGACTTGTTCTCATGAAAAGTAGATTCATTTTTCAATTGTTATCGAAGTCCAATCAAATAATTCATTTTTAGATATGACAAGTTCACCAAGTGAAGAATACTTTTAGTATGTTGTTTTCTTCCTGTGACGTTCTTTTTATGTTTTCATGTTCAATTTTAGTCGAAGGGTTTTACAGATTAGCAGTGGAATTGAGAATGTCGATGGAATTGTTACGCATCTAGCGGTAGCCTTAGCTGTTGCTTGGTTGATTTGTTTTTTAGCCTTATCGAAAGGTGTTCAATCATTAGGCAAAGTAACCGACACGAAAATTTTGACATAAGAAAGAAAATTATGCTTCTTTGATCATAGATCGCATATTTCACGGCTCTCTTTCCTTATGTAATGTTAACCGTTCTGATTATTCGCGGTGCTACATTGAGTGGAGCTATCGAAGGCGTGAAATTTTACATCGGCAGTGTTGAGTTCGGTGCATTGAAAAACCCATCGGTAACTTTTTGTGAGAAGATTCTCGAGAGAAAACGACTTCTATTTGAGTAATCTAGGTGTGGAAAGAAGCATGTACTCAAGTATTTTATGCATTGAGTTGTTGTAGTGGAGGATTAATTGCCATGGCCTCATTCAACGATTTCAATAATAACGTTTATCGGTAAAAGTATCAGTTTTACATATGTATGTCTTGACATTGGTTTTTGATGTGAAGTGATACGGTGTCGATCTGTTTGGTAACATGGTTTACGAGTATATTTGGTGGATTTGCAATATTTACTGTCTTAGGTACGTATTTAATCAGAAGAAAAGAATTGAGTTGAATTAGTTCATTTCAAGGTCATATGGCGACGAAGATGGGTGTGAGTGTTGCTGATGTGGCTAAAGGAGGTTGAAATTATTTTAGGCCTGCTGTGAGATCTTTTAGATTATATTTTTTAAGGTCCTGGTTTGGCATTTGTCGTGTTTCCTGAAGGCTTATCAATGATGCCATTTGCACCATTATGGTGTGTTCTTTTCTTTTTAATGATGTGTACTCTCGGCTTTGGTTCGGAAGTTCGTTGATGACAAATCTCTCAAATTAAATTTCACCTATTTCCGTTTTTTAGTTTTCAATCATGGAAACTATCATGGCTAGTATTATCGATGAATTCAAAACGTATCTGAATACACCCAAGAAGATCATACTCTTTCGATTTGGTACATCCGTTGTGTTTTTCCTACTTGGACTATCAATGGTCACACGAGTATGTTTTGATATATATCAAACAGAGACGATTAGTATACATGATTAGGGAGGTTTATATGTGTTGAATATTATCGATCAATATCTCGGTGGATTTCCTTGGTTAATAATTGGTGTTGTTGAATTATTCTGCATTGGGTGGGTGTATGGTAGGAGACAAAGCAAAAGAGAATTGTCATTTGCTATTAGTTGACTTACAGGCGTGGATAATTTCTGTGACGATATTGCTATCATGTTGGGTGAAGAGCGACGTCCAAGTAAATTCTGGCGGATCTGTTGGCAATATATTTCTCCATTGATTCTCATTGTAATTATCGGGTTTCTTCGTTCTTCTTTTTTCCGATTTAATCAGACGTGAAATTCTTCTTACATCTGTTTATGTTTATTTGTCTTTCCAGTTTACAATTCTTTTTTCATCTTTATTCTATCAAGAAGTAACACTTGACGATTATACATATCCATCATGGGCACTTACGCTTGGCTGGGTCGTTGTTATCGCATGTCTTGGCTGGTTACCATATATTTTCATCGTTGAAATCTGCCGACGTGGAACATGGAGTGTAAGAAAAGATTGCTTCGAATAATCTATGCTTGAAAACTTTTGTTTAGATTATTAAAGAAGCTCGTTTGCCACATGTGGAATGGGGTCCAGCACGGCATGAGCATCGTCAATTGTCAGTTCGATATGCGAAGGAATCGGGCCCGAAAAATTTAAGCATGCAAACATTGTCGACAATCGATACAGGCGATTCATATGATTTGGACGCCGCAGCTATCGAGGTCATTACTGCAAGTCCGAAACTGTATGTGAAAAGAATTTCTGATGTATCAACAACACGTTTTTGAATGATTTCCTTGATTAATCAAAGTAGATTATTCATTTTTTCTTTTTCGATAAAATAAAAAAATAATAACAATGAAAGGAGGAAAAGAATGATCAACAGTTTATCCTCGTAGATTCAACCAAGACATGCAGCTTGAGTAGCATAGAATTCATCAAAACTGGCACAAAACCGCTCTGCAAGAAGAAGAAGAAGATCAAGCATAATAAAATTATTTCATCAACTAAAATTCGATTATCAACATTGAGATTCTCGTTCTCCCTTCCAGTTTTCTAATGGTATTTCGCGATAGGTGAAAGAGAAGTGAAGCTGACACACGCAGTTATGTTAATAATATTGCATATGAAGAATATAAAAAAAAGAAGCAAGATTTATCACCTGTCGGAGAAAGACATTGCAAAAAAAGACAAGTGTAAATACGATGGTGTAAGTCAAGGGATGGTTTATTATTGAATATCTCCATTCCTTTGCAAATCATTCGTTAGTTATAAGTAAGAGAAAAATATGTTAAAATTGATAAGTATATACCATCGGTTATATCAAGGTAGAGAGGGGAAAAGAATGAGAGAGGTACGTGAAGTCACAAAGAGTATGAAAGAAAAACGAAGAGAGAAGGTCAACGCGATTGAAGAAGAAATAAGGAACCGGTAATGTAAGGCTGTAATAAATGCGTAGTACGGATGTTGATAATGATGTTGATACCGATGCGATCTTAACCGCATGCAGCCCAATTCGAATTCATTAAATCTTCATAAGAATTACAGTAGGTCTTGAAACGTTCTAGAATAATATACATTTACAGATGTTATTTCGGTTCGGACACGAAAATCAAATGAAGATCAGATCGAAGAAGCAATTTCTCTTGCTTTGATGATAATAATCAGCAGTTAGTTGTTGACAAATGAGTAAGATTTCTTTCCATAATTGCAGGTGCAGGCAGAGAGGAAGAAACGTAAGCAAAAAGTATTCGTATGGGGAGGAAAAGAGCAAACATGACAGTGTGATTAACTTAAAGTGTTTCTTTATTAACTTAAAACCATTTATTACAACGTGCAGACGAGATGTTATATAGCGAATGTATATGAGAAACAAGTGTTAGTCAAAGGCAAGCGTTGTCTAAATGTTGAATTTATCAAAACAACCATGTTTGTGCATAAATTAAAGATTATTTTTCGATTGCACGCCGACGACGACACAGCGTTCCTTGAAAAATATCTTGAACACTACAGTAGGTGAAGCGTTCTAAATAAGAAAGCGTGTAGGCAAAATGCTAGTGTGTTAGTATAACATGCAAATCGTGCTGTTTGAGAGAATAGTTTCAGGCGAATGAGAATGAAGGAGAACTTCAAAATGAAAATTGTTGATTGGACTTACTTCGAACTTCTTGTAATCGATCAGGATTTGAGTCGGATAATGATCGAAGATATTCATGGATCTAAATAAAAGGATATCGTCAATTCAATGTTTAATGAAAGGAAATGATGTACAAACCAATTCTCGTTTGTAGAAATCTTGTTTTTCACGTTTCGCTGCAAGTTGTTCAGCGTTGGCTGTCAATAGAAAGTGACGCAGTCTTTTGAGATCATATGTACGACGTTCTTCTTGTACATCATCATTATCATCACTATCATCGGATGACATTTCTCTCATGGCAAGATTATCCGAAGATGCGTAAGAGAAGTTTATTATTGACATGAGGAGAATTGTGATTAGCACAAAGTTGATGTTTGTTGATAAGAGGAGAAATTTCGTCATTTTTGCCGGTGTTGTTGTTGTTGGTAGATTGCAGGTGAAAGTGTCGGCAGAAAAATTAATCTGTAACAAAAACTATATGTATGTATTCTGTATACTTGACTACGAGGAAAGCGAAAAATTCATACGCAGTACGAGACGAAAAACAGAGAGAAAGAAAAACATGATTTGTTATGACATCAGAAATATGAAAATTTTGGCAATATTATTCATAAAAATGAAATCATTTTGACGATAAGCTCTATTTATGTATATATATATACACTTTCTCGAGGAGAGAAAGGAGAGCGACGAAGGAAGGAAGGAGAGAGAGAGAGGGAGAGACGCAGAAAGAAAAAGAAAATCGCGTTAGAGAAAACAAACATACACTGTCTCTCGTTGTTCATTGAGGTCTGTACAAATTACTTTCTATTGCCAAGAGAATCAATAAAACAGAACTGAGAAGGAAAAAAACACCCACGTCCATCCCATTTTGTAAAGCACTTTCAATAACGACAGTACATATACCAATACGTCATACAGGAGTTCTAGTAATAATTTTAATCGATTATCTGTCGTTCACATGATATTATGAATTTTAAAGCAAACAATTCTTTATTAAAAATGACAGGAAAATTAATGACGTCAATATAATAAATAAGGTAAACACATTCAATCATTATTCAAATTGGTGACACATACATGTACTTCATTGTCAAGCAAATCAATATGTACGATATTGAATTCACCTGCATAGACGTCATCGAGAATGTATCGCAAAATGACATCAGAAAAGAAACTACGTAGGTGAAGTAGCATGATGAAATGAGACAGTTTGATATTCGCTTAATTTGTATTTCATTATGTTATTTATAGTTTCAATCATTAGTAAAAACCCGTTATCAAAATGAACATGCTATCATGATATGAGGACATAAACATTTGTTACGTGAACAAGACCTGTGGTACAAAGAGTACGTTTGACAAGTTCATGAAATGCTATTTCCAATAACCGAGCTTCGCTTCGTTGTGTTTATTCTCAATTAGTAAATTTCCTGAAAACAAATGAATACCAATAATAGTTACTCAATTCCATAGAGAAAGCAGCTCATTTTATGTGTGATTAACAAGTTTCAAAGTATAAGAATAAAACTTACGGTTAGATCGACTTAAATTATACCATAGAATGACAACTCACTACTCGAAAAATATACGCAGTAGCATTATAATCGAATGATAATAATTGAAAATGTGTACTTGTGCGTAATAACCATTATATAACAGTAAATTAGACATTTAAGATAATTAGTCTAAGAATTGAAAATAATAGTATCTTGTAGGCAGGTGTTCACTTATGAGAGTTGACACAACGGAAAGAGCTGTCAGAAAACTGCCTACACCTACATTTAGTACAAGACACTATTATATATAGGCCGCATGTTCCTATGTAATATCATATTGAAATTAATTAGTACAAATTAAATATATCTTGTTTGGTGCACAATACTTTTGTTCCCAATTGTCAAAGGCAACTTCCCTATCATGTGATCAGAGGGAAAACGTTCCCGACATGAACAAGTTTTTATCAATAAAAATCATATTGTCAGAAAAAAACGTTCCCTCGTTTAATTTCTTTCTTCATAGACAAATATTTGGAAACGAGTTATCACTTCACCGAAATTCAAATAGACTTTTGTCAGCTTGATATGAGTGTCACGAACTTTTCACGTACATATTCACCGATGATTAAACATCAATTATGATATTGTTAACCGGATACTGAAAAACGAGTTTCATTAGTTTATCAATGTTTTTATTGTATCTGGGGGATAAAAACATGACTAACTCCAACGTAAGTTATGAGGATCCCTCAGGTATACAACAACTGTATGAATAATGTAATAATTTCCACATATGTTTATTTGTTTGATCACAAACAACATAATCATGTTTCCCTGAATGATTAAAAATCCTGTTTGGCGTCTTTTTCACACCATTCCATCAGAAAAATAATGACAACTGCTTCAAAACTCTCGAGATTGCTAATTATAAAACTAAATGCAATACATATAAGTATTTGCATTGAAAAAAAGAACACTCACACCCTTTTCCCAACCCACACTAAGAATTGAATGAATTTAGTGCTTTGCTCAACTAGAAACTATTTCTTTATTTCCAATCCTCATTTACATGTCATGACGATTTACATTGTCGAGAATAACCACGCAAGCGTCGTGACATGACACTGATTGATTACACTTTATTCTGTATTAACACTGAATTCATATAATTAACTATCTATTTGAGATGTTTGATGAATAATCAGTGAAAAGGATTGTCTTGTTTGTTATTCGTTCGTTCAACTGATGATAAACATAAGGCGCGAAAAGTTTGATAAAACATGCGATTTGTCCTATTTCTATTGTTCATATCACAAGTAATTACACATCGAACACATAATCGGATATCCAAGAAACTAACCTGTTTTCTAGAGCATCAATACCATTAAATTGAACAATCAGAAAAAACAATTTGTTACTCTTATCAAACGAGATGTACATAGTTCGTCTACTCAAAGTAAAAGCTACTATTGCTATTGGAGAACAACGGCTTTCTTTGTTAGATCTTAATCGACATACGAGAACATATGAAACTAACGACGTAATCGTTATCGACACATTCGATTTCAAATTAATTGAAACACTATTTCCAACAAAATCTATCGATAAATCCCAACTAGCGGTTCGTCAACATACGACATGGTTAGTTGGTCATATATCTTCAGATGATTATCAACAACTGGCACGATTCGATTCAACTAGAAACCGATTTATCGTTAATCAAAATGAGAATCTTTTCTGTAGAATTCATGAAACTACTGGTGAATTAACATTACTGAATAATAATGACGAAAATCTTCTTCATAACGAAATTATTCTACATGCAGAATCTGGCCTAGGTCCAGATGATGCTATTTTACATGATATCTATCGATTCATTCGTCTTCTACCCACCACACGTATGTACATACGTTTCGTTTCATCTTTCACATCCGATTTTTGCTTTCATTCGTACACAGTTCATTGTACAAGCGATATAACAATATCTCTGAATGAAACGCTTGACATTGTATGCTCGATTGATTATGAATATGCGATGTATAATGATTTAGAGAATTACCAACCGCAGATAAATCTAACATTTTACTTAAAAGAAAATCATTCTTTGTATACGAGTATTATATCAGAAGAGTTGGATGAAATGAACGATTTGTCAGCCGACCAAAATCGAAGATTGAATTGGACGCGTTCGATTAAACATACGATCGAATCTATCGATGACAAAGAGACCAGTAGGGAATACATATGCATGATAACACCAGATGTATCGCCGAACAAATATCAAATTTGTCGAACAAAGATTCATATCCGACGTAAATCATCTGTTGTTTGAAAATGCCAATACTCTTTTATTTAGACGATAATTCTTCAACAGTCAGAGTAACTCGGCCAAGTAAAACTAATCTTCATCTGGTTAGTTGATAAATCGAATTATTTTAATAGATCAATTGGATTTGATTGATATTTTGATCATTATTCTCATAACAATTAGTTGTTTGCTATTTGTAACTTCGTTGATTCTTTATCTAATGGCACGGAAATCGAGAAAAACACGTCGACTACAAATTCAACCCGAAAGTATTTTCTCCACTGACAAAATCTAATTGAAATTTCTTTGTATTTCTTCAAGTTTTGAACAAAACCCTAGCCTTGCCAATTGGAACTAAACCAACACTTGTCTTGAATAACAACGAAACTTCCCTATTTTCACCTCAACAACAACAATCACTTGCAAATCATCGACATAAGCCCGGTTGTCCGCAATACATTCCTTCCCCAGAAAATAATCTTCTCTCCAGTGATCTATTCACTCACACCACAATTGATAACATGACGAAAATGTAACCATTTGCTCTTCAGAAGTAAATCCACGGAATAGATCTTTCTTTTTCAGAATTCTTCCTGATATTCCTGAGACAACAGATCTGTTTGATAATCAAACATATATTCATCTCTATCTTCCATCAAAACCCGATACGACTCAGAGACAAAACCAGAGTTTGGAGAAGACACAAGTTTCATCATAAATGATTCTTTTTCCCCGATTAAACGAAAGACAAAAGTGAGAGTTTGTATGTGTATATACATTTTTTAAAACAAGAACAATATCTATGATATATCTACATGAAATAAGAATGATTAAATAGACAAAAGCGAAAGCGTTGATGAATAAGAAAAAGTTGTGTTCGCATCGTCGATAAGTAATGGTAATGGATTATTAATGCTTAAGTCGAAAGCTGTTGGATTATTTGAGAAAAGATGAATCAGTCTTTGATCATGATCATTAATATCGGTTGATACCGGCCAAGGCATGATCTAAAGCATAAATTAAAAACATCAATTTGATTTGAAAAGTTGTTTTTCAGATTTTGAATCTCATATGTAAATTATAAACGAATTTCTACCTGCAATGGCCTGTTGCATACGACGACGAGCCCCAAAAGCTTCAATACCGATTTGAGTCAACTCTTGATCCGTCATAGAAAGAAATGTGCAATAGTCAATCTAGGCGCGATTGAGTATTCGATAAATCCATTGTAGAAAAAGAAAAGAACTAATTACCTCATTACGTTCAAATGTTGACCAGTATTTTTCTAAATTTATTGAACGAAGTAATGTAAACAATTTCGTCGAACGATTATCCTGTGTTGGAAAAGCCAAAGTATCTGAAATCGAAAAACTCAGTCAATGCGAACGTATTCTTTTATCCAACATACTGTCAATTGATTCTAAATTATTAATATCAGTCGATTTTAATGTTTGTTGAGTCGGTGAATCGAAAACCAAAAGCTACAACTCGAAATAGTTAGAAGGTAAATATGACATTTCGAGTATCTACCGATGAAATTTGATCATTATTTGTTGGCCAAACAATTGTGTCTTGATCGGGAACTATACAAGCAAATGATTCATTTGAGCAACATTAAAAAGAAGTTTGTTTACTTCGTGATGACGAACGTTCATGACCAATCGGTGATGGTTTTTTCGTTGTACTTGTCTCGACTCTATACAAATGATTTTCAATGCAAGATAGAACTCAAAAACATCTGTTTTCTTACATTGGTACAAATACAGTATCGATTTGTTGTGTTGGTGGAATAAAACAAGGTTCAATCGGAATTAAGATACTTTCTGTCATATGATTTGTCGAAGGTGATGTAAAAACTAACGAAGAAGATCCGGATGGTACTAAATGAAAAGAAAGTAAGATTCGAACAATAAGCAAATGGAAAAAGAAGAAACTTACAGGAGAGATCGGATAACAGTGTCGATGATTGATCTACACGATAGAAAGAAGAATGAAGAACGTGTTAAACAAAGTGAAGGTTGAAATTTACTTAAATTAAATAAACCAGTTGTATTGATTGGTAGAATATGATTATGATTGGATTCTGGTAAACCAAGAATAACAGCACGTGCGCGAAACAATTGATCACAATTATATTCTTGTGATTGAACAGTAACTAACTATAAGTAGGACAGATCTTTGGATAAAAACAAGAAGCCAATTTTGAGAACTTACTTTGCCAATTTTATCTTTACGTGTTCGAACTGTTGTAGTAACGTTGAGTTTGTCCTTAATATGAGCTGTTTGAGCTATAAAAAAAAACATCGACTAGTAACCGAAAATGAATCTTTATCATTGTGTCACGTACCACGACTTGGTTCTTTATCAATGGGTATTTCAAAGGTCAAAATAATTGGTAAACAAAGCTATAGCAAAAACGAGAAAAGTTCGAAATCCTTCGCAATTCACAACTTTGTCTTACATCAAATAATTTTCTCGCTTGACAAACTTGTGTTGGTGATCCGGTGATTGTAACCGATGTTCGACGTCCGTAATTATTCATGTTATCTTGCGTAGGATTCGAATTGACCATCGATGGAAATTGTATGTTTGTATGAGTGTATTGCTCGATTGCAGCGATACACATGTCTTTGGATTGCTGACGAGTTTGTAAATAAACATGATATTGCTCACTGACTTCTGTTTGACATGTCACTTTGATTGATGGAGCTTCGAAACCGTAGAACGCTTGAATTAGATATTCAGTTGCTTCAGCTAGACCTGGTTGATTGATTCTTTGATAGAGGGAAGAGGATGGTTATTATTTTCGATGGAGTAAATTGGTCAAGGTTTTACTTACAATCCGCGAACGATACAATAAACATCACCCGTTTTGGCATAAGGCCGTGGAAGAACAATAACACCATATCGCGAGCGAACATTTTTGAACAATGGATAATCATCATTGATGATATTGATCAATTGTGTTGGCGGAATGAGAAATTTCAATGACATGGGGAGAATTTCTCGGATACGTTTTCGAGCTTCTTCAATTGATGAAATTGTTCCTGTAATAGATACCTACAAAAGACAATTTCTCACTGATTTCGACTTGGTTTTCATCTTACTTGATTCGATTTTGTTCCATTGGGTTCCCGATTGCCATCCGGAAAATGGATATGTGTATCAGTTGCTGACATGATACTTTGAATTTGATTTCCTTGTCGTCCAATACAATGAGCATGATCTGTAAACGGTATTTCGACTTTGAGTGTTGCTCGATCCATATTTGTTGTTCGCATCGTTGGTAACTGAAACACAAAATGTAAAATCATCTCTATTTATATCGTGGAAAGATTTGTATGTGTGACAGACAGTCGATTGACTAATCGGTTCGCTTCAAAAACACGTACGATTCTATCTTTGAACTTAGTCTTAATCACTAACCGAGACAAACAGAGATTACTCTCTCTCTCTTTCTGGAATAAGCTGAAAAAGAATCTATTTATTCGTGTATATATGTTGAGACGCCTACATTGATGAAAAAAATTTCAATAATGGACCAACACTAATTTTTCTCTCTCTCTCTCTGTCTTCCGTCTCCTCTTCTCCTGAAACAAATAAACAAAAGTGAATATGAAGAATGATGGCACGAACATTATCGTTATTCTTGCACGTTTCTTCTTATCATTCATTCCATGTTTCGAAAAAAGATACGATTCATCATTATGTCAAAGATTATTTTCTTTTCACTAAGACAACGAAATCGACAAAAAATGAATTCTTCTCGCAAAACACATACCAGAAAACAATATGTACAACAATCATGCTCATAGATTGAACAAGTTTCGAACATTGATTCGTGTGGATGCTAAACTAACTAATCATTTAGAATAATCAACTTGTCTATGTTCGTTCTCTCCACTCCGATTGTGTCATCATTAGAATAAGGATTAGCATCGGTCACAAAAGTCATCAAGATCATTGCCATACATAAATACTCTCTTTTTTTTCGTTCATGTCTATATCTTTACATAATTACATCCGACGACAAGCACAAACAATTCAAACCGAAGAAAAAGAAACATCGTTGTTATACATACGAATTCATTTAATGTCGATGTTGATGATGGAGTCACCGAAAATCGACAACGTTTAGCTGGTTGATTCATACTCGGACTTTTTTCGAATAAACGATGTGCTTGAAGAGACAAAGATAGAAGAGAGAAGAAAGACATGAAAAATTTGCTGCATGTACATACCATTCTAGCATACTAATGATGCCTACACGCTCGTATCATTATCATTCAGAGATTCGTTTTTTCCTTTCTTAAAAACCTTTCTTGTATTCGTGTCTGAATTTATGATAAAGTCTGAGGAATTTACAGACGAAATTATCTTTCGTACAGAACAAATTATTCAACTTTAATCGGACATCGACAAAGATATGACAAATATGTCGTTGACCATAAATCAACATCGATGATATTATGTAAAATATCTTTTCATTTATGAAGATATCGATGTTACTTAGAAACATATCCGATTGTCTACTTTCATGATTAATCTGCTAATTAGTTGCTTGCTTTTACAGATAAACTTTCGATCATGTGTTTTTTTTTAGAAAAGAAACAAGAAAATTGCCGTGCTGTTTGCATTGTGAACTATGTGAGATGGTTTTTTCTTTCTATATGTAACAATCACCTGTTACTTTTTTCCATAATCAATTTTTCTGCATATCAAGTTCTAATTGGTTGAATATTTTCACAAGGGAAAGGGAAAAAGATGAGATGTCACGGTTGATTGAACGGATTGACCATCAATAACGAAAAGAAGCGCACTTTGCAGGATAACTTAGTTAATTGTTCGTGTTTAAAGAAATAAACGAACAGACAATGTTGACACCTACGTACTTCTATTTTTTTTATATCCTACAGGGAAAGATGATCTGCTGTCATGTATGTAACAATAAGAAATCTGACGTGTTTGGTTTCTTTTTTTTTCATGAAAAGGAGGTGAGAAGAAGAAGATGAATCTTTTGCATTATATATATATATAGTTTTCTTTCTTTTTTTCTATTGCGTACACGGTTAAGTACAAACATTAAAGGTAACAAGAAGATCCGTTTTTGAAGCTTTTTCTCGCTAATGATTCGGATTTGTATATGGTTGCCCGTATTTATCATTTGGTACTTAGTTTTTTTTATTAAATTAGCGTTTGACAGTTGTTTTCCGCTTTTAAATCGGTATGTTGGATGCGTTGATGGCGTGTAGAATTATCCGAGGAGCTGGGAAGAAGAAGAAAGAAAAGAAGAACGCAGAAGATCAGAGAAATTAAAGGTAACGAGTCTTTCTTTTTTTTTTAGAAAAGAAGACGAGAAAGTAAAGCCGAGCAGAAATGACGGACTGAAAATAATTATTGTTGTTAGATACCAACAAAACACAATATAATTGTGAGAGACGATGGAAGCAAATACTCGGAGTCGACATTCAAAGTCGTTTAAGTAGCAAGTGTGTCCTTTCTCATATTCAATATGACTTGGTCGAAATTAACCCTTTTTGTACTGCTTCTCTCTATGAAATGTGTTGAACAAGGTAAAAGAGTACTTTGTAAAGTAAATCTCTTGATAAAATTGTTGTTCGTAGCTGAAATTCAATGTTCAAGTTCATTTTCCACAAATAATAACACTAATCTTTGTTATTATTACAAATCCAATATGTTATCCTGGTCGGATGCGTATAATCAGTGTCTAACAAAAACAATTGATGGATTATTGATTCAAATCTTTTCTGAAGAACAATTTCTCCTATTGCAACAAACAAATATCGATGACAAATCAATCTTTTGGATTGGTGCGAATAATTTCGCATCATGTAAGTTAACGAAAATTCGATTCACGTGTGCATTTAAACCGAATAATCTATTTACTTATAAAACATTTAGAATAGATTTCTTTTTCTAGTCTTCATAGGAAATAGTTATGAGTAAATATTAAATTAAGGAAGATATTTGTCAAAACTAGAAGTTGACATGAAGTGCGTAGAAACACATTCATACGGTTAGAAATTCAGAATAAGATAAATTGTTCTCGCTCAGCAAGGTATCTGTAAATTTTTCATCTGTTAGTTCGTGATTTCAAATGGCATTGGCTCGATGGATCTGTTGTTGACGATTCGACGGTGACATGGTGTCCAAATAGTACGTATGAAACCGCAATTGGAACATATTGCGCTGCTTACGACAGCAGTTTACAATGTGTGAATAACTATTTATGCAGTAGTCTATTCTCAGCTCCATGTGTGTCGGGTAAAGATTTTATATGATTGTTCTTCCTGTGAATTGTTGTCGAAGTGTTTCAGGAGCGAATGGAATCAATAAACAAGCAAAAGTGAATATCATTACAAAACAAACGAGTGCTTCCTTATGCACGAGTTCATTTGGTGGTACTTATGCAAATTGGTGGACTTATTCTGTTTTATTGACCAATTGGTTTCTGCTCTTTTGTTTTGTGCTGTACTTATTCAATCGTTTTGTTCTCGATAAGAATACCATTGCAATCACAGCAGCGATTCTTCTACTATCATTGCTTATGATCATCGTCTTTGCTGTTCTATGGGGTATTCAATGTATGTTGAAAGAGAATTAAACTTTGATTTCGATATGCGCTTTGATTTAGATCAAGATATCATACAAATTCCATTGGTGAATGTCATCATTGGTTGTCTAGCCGGATTTTGTCTTCTGATTGTTTTATTCATTCTTTTAAATGATCGAACTCGGGGTAAGTAAACTTGGTTTAAATGTTAAAGAAACAACGATAAAATCTTATGTTTAGTACACCGGTTGACAACATGTCGAATTGTACTAGGAATCGTCATTCTCTTCGAAGCTTTTCTCATGCTTGGCTTGATCCTTTGTATTGCATATTGTTCAGGATATATTACACTGGCACCAACAAGTCTAGAAAAGGGTATGAACATGATTTTACATAGAATATGTCTAGGTTTTTGCTTAATTATATTCAAGATGTAACCGCATCGTTATTAGCATCTCTAGTTGCTGCTATATCGATTCTCCTATACTCTGGAATCCTTTATCTATTAGGTAAAAAATGAAATATTCGAAGATAGAAACTGTTGATATACTTTTATAGAAAACCCGGGCTATGATCGTAACCTGGCGGTTAGACCAGTGACTACGAACATAGTAGCAATAACTACACAAACAGCTGCTGCGTCCGCTCATGGTCATCCACCACCTTTGCGTCAATCGAACAGTAATGCTTTAACGACTGCTCAACGTCCTACGAACATTTCACCAGTTAAAAAAGTCGAACATACCGATCGCGCCACGTCTCCAGTAGACGATCGTATACTTCAAGAATTCTATTCCGATCGACCAAAAGACGTTCACCAATATAGTCTCGAAGGTAGACAATACGTCGTCTTCGAAGGAGCTACGTTCACTGACATTGATACATATCGAAAAGGTAATTTCTTGCATTAAATTGTTCGCTTTTTTGTTAATTTTGCATTGAATGCTAGAATTGACTGAAGCAATGTTATTGCAAGAACCAGACGGTCTTCATGAGGCTATCAAGCATGCTAAAGGTTCGATTCATGCATCGACACTAGAGGAAGAAATTCATCAAGCTGAAAATTTAGCTTCGAAACTAAGTTAAACTCTTTACACCATTACGCGAAGATCCTGTCTACATAAATGTCCGTTCAAAAGTAAATTGTAAATGTTTTGTTGTTGTTCTTGTTCTTGTTCATCATCATCATCATCATTAAATTTTGCTGAAACGGCTTTTGTTTCGTTTGCTTTCTCTTATTTTTTAAAATTAAGCAAAACAACATCGAAGTGTGTGCAAAAATAACGTATCTTTTTATGAAGATGAGAAGATTTTATATGTATATATATATTCATATACAAGACATAAACATGCTGTTGCTGATGTTTAGATTATAAACAAACACGAGTAGAGATAACGAACGAAAAAGAAAAAATAGAGAAGAAAACAATCGAATCTGTGTGTTGCCGTTTGTCTGTTTCACATGGAGAAGAAGAAAACGACAGAGAGAGAGAAAAAAATACTTTGGTCAATTAACGATTGAAATTAAATATATATAGAGAGAGACTTCTATATACACACGATGTTTATTTTCATTTTGATGATGAAAGAAAATCTAACAAATAGAAGAAGATTTAGTTCTGCAATCGAGTTAACAAAGACGGCAAAGGTAGATTTATGTACATTAGAACATCGACCAATGGTATTCAATTATGTATCAGTAGGGGCCAATCGTTGTTTTTTCGCTGATGAATTCGCATTTGAACTCGTTCGTTTTGTCGAACTGTTCGCATTCGCATTATGATGCGGGGATTGTTGTTGGTCCTGTAACCATCGAACTTGTGTCGCTGGACCGTAGCCACGTTCGTTTCGTGCAGCAATACGAAAAATAATTGCTGGTTTACTACTCGAACTGACATCCAAATGTGCTTGAAGAAGTTGACCACCATTGACAGAACATTCAGCTAGGGCACCACCATAAACTCGAACAAAGGCCATTTGAGACGCTTGTTGGGCTTGCTGCTGACGAACTGTTGTATTATCTGTCGGTGAGTTTTTCACTGCTAAGTAAACAGCATAACCAGTAATTAGAGATGAAGAACTTGATGGAGGATCCCATGTTAGATGCGCACCACCGTCGGACGTCTAAATTGTTCAAAAAAGCAAACTATTGTATTGCTGGACAAATGTACGTCATCAGCCGAGTAAATATGTCATTCTGTATTAATTATTAAAATTTGCTCAACGATATACATTTCCTTTGAAGTATCTGATTGCATATACAAACTCAGATTATTTTATCCAAAGATTACTATACTATTCAAAATGAATAATTATTCTCGTCTCTTAGAAACATTACTTTTCTCTCTTTGGAGACAACATACTTTGGTAATTTTGATATTGGATGGTGCTGGTGGTGCACCTGGCAAACATGTTTTGAACGCTGCTGCTTCACTCCATGGACCGCGGCCACATGAGTTCTCTGCTGCTATACGTAGTTTGTAGATAACACCTGGTTCTAAATCCACCTTTTTAACTAAATTTTGGGCTTGTAATGAAGCGAGATCCTATACGAAAAAGCAAGAAGTTTGATTAAAATTCCGATTCTTTGGTTTTGAAAACGATTACGAACATAACTATCAGTGTCGATTTTTGATGATAGAACATAATAATGTTTTATATCAGCTGTTGTTGTTTTGAACGTTCCAACCAAATGCCAACCATCATCATTCGTCTCTGTTGTTGTTGCTGTTGATGATGATAAATTTTCTTGATGATCTGGTTTTAATTGAGAAATAATTTCATAGTGAACAACGAGATTGCGTTTTTCTTACTTGATACTTGTTGAGAATCACTAGTTGATGCAGTTATCCGTGTTCCATTGGACGAAGTTGACAAATCTACAGAAGAAAATCATGATTATTCTGAAGATTAAAAAGTTGCTTTGTTGAATATACCAGTCGAGCCATTGTGCAAAGACTAAACAGAAACAAATATTTTGCTAGTAAAATTAGTACTTGGAGAAAATGAAAAGTTCTACCTGATCATCAACAGTGCCATCAAGTTGTGGAATGGGAGCATCTTTTGATGTTGTTGTTGTTGTTGTTGTTGTTGATGACGATGGTGGCCCCGGTTCTTGTGACTCGTGATCATTCTTAGTTAAAGGAGGCGGATCAATATTCGGTGTTTGCAATGTGAATTTTGCTTGTTGTCCTTGATTGTTACTCAGTATGTTTTGATTGATGACTAAGACTTGTTGTTGTTGATTTTGAGGCAAAATAGTTTTCTGTTGAGTATTAGTAGTTATTAGAATTGGTTGTTGTTGTGTTTGTTGTCGATTAGCTGTAGATGCTGTTATAGCTTTTATAACCAATGGTTGTTGTTGTTTATTGGTGTTAAGTTGGATAATTTGTTGTTGTCCGGTGCCAGTTCGAATCGTTGATGTACCTGGCGCCATAAATCGAACAATGGTTGTCGGCTGTCCCGATGTAGCACGTACAACAGGAGTTAGTTGTTGAACGCGAACGCCAGCAGGCATTACGGTAAGAAGTTGTGGCTGTGATGTTGCCGTTGCACCTTTTTGATGAAGGACTATTGGACGAACAGTCGAGTTGGCAGTTGTATTGACAAATTGGAAGTTCGAGGGTGTTGTTGGTCGAACGGTTGACGTAGTTGCTGAAACAGGTTTTTGAAAGAGTAAGGATGAATTCGGAGTACTGTTCGAAGGCTAGAAGAAGAAATGTTAGAAAGAGACGAAGTAAAGAAAAAGTCAAATTTTACTTGTGTTATAGTGGGTAATGTTTGAGGATTGACTGTGCTTATTGAAGAAGATATTGGTGTTTGAGATGACGATAAATGTGCCAAGGAGAGTAAGTCTGATGCAGATTTATTTAGAAGGGTGGATGGCGAAAGACACTGATCAGTTACAGCATCTATGTAGAACAAAAAAAAACAGGATTAAAATCAGCTTTCGAGGATGAGTATTGAGGATTACTTGTGTCAGATATCGCAGAAGCAGATGCACTGGTTGGCTGTTGTTCTAAATAAAGATACTAATAGAATTCATTGTTGTGGATTAATGATAGTTACCATTGGTGAATGTCGGAATTAATGATGCAAGCACTAAAGATAAGGAGAATATAATACAATTGTCGGATAAGAAAGAGCATGTTTACCTGACTGAGGACTTTTCGATGCAAATAACGAAGCTGAAATAGATTGCAGCGGCATCGAAGGTGGATTAATCGGTGTCTGCGGTAGAATTGTAGGCGTTGGTGGTAACTGTTCGACAGGTGTATCAACACGTTGAATTTGTAAGATGTATGAATCAGCTATAAACAAAGAGAAAAATAATGACGAACTAGATCATTGAGGGAACCGTTTACCAGTTGGAACAGTAGTCCACGATATTTCCAAATTTCCAATTCCTGCCTTAAGTAATTGCACTTTTTCTAGTTCACCTGGACATGCTGTTTCTAAACACCATAAGTCTTTACAACAGACCTAGGTCAATCAAATTTCGATAAGTAAGACAATTGGTAAAATAAATTCTTACTTGATTATTCCACGCTTTTCGATAACCATCTCTTCCACTCCATATGTACATTCTTGTATTTACAGCAACAGCACAATGACCAGCACGCGCCCGTGGAACATTTTCATCGAGACATTCTTGTCCAAGAAGTTCCCATGTATTTGTTTCTGAATAAATGATTTTAGGAACATTTCGTTCTCTTTCTCGAAAAACAGAAGAATTTTCTATTTACCTAAATTAAACGAAGCTAAGGTATTCGTACATTTCCATTCTTTTTCATGAGTAATTTGTTCATTTTTATCAGAGAAAATCAATGGCACCCAACCACCGAAGACAAGCATACTAAAGATGAAATTCAACTCGCACGTCAAAACACATTAAAACTCATACCGATGTCCAATAACAACTGCCGAATGAAGACTACGAGGTTGTGGTGCTAGACCAGACGAAGTTATCTGTGTCCATTGCGGAAAATCTACTCATAGAACAGATAGAACCTTTTCAAGGATGACAATAACTGTAAGATACCAATATGGAAACTCCAGAGATCGCCTAATCGATGACCATTCATTCCGCCATAGATAATTAACTTCGGTCGATTTTCAGTTTGCCCTCGATATGCAACACACGAATGAGATTCTCGTTCCATTGGTTGTGCACCACGAAGAATAGGTTGTTCCCAAGAAAAATTATTTCCTTTACCTTCCAATGCGTACAAATCATTCAAATACCTACAAAATTTATCTCAATATAGTTTTTACTTTGCTTCCTTCTTACCGTGGGAGATTCTGTTTAGGATCTTTACTATCATTTGCTAAACCACCAAACACATAATATTTTCCATCAGCATATGTGAACGTGTGTCCTAAAATTCGTTGTGGTACTTCGAATCGCTGCAATGAAAAGCAGTCTTACCGAGTCGAGCACAAGGTGATGGAGAGGTTCGTGGTGGCTTCGGTTTGATCTTCTTCCACGTCCATGTCAAAGGATTCAATTCCCAAAGATCTGCTGAATATTTCCCATATTCAATCATTCCACCAAAAACAAGTATCCGTACGCCATCAGTAGCAAAACCAAAAGCTGCACAACCAGTTGGTATCTCTCCTTTGACTACTGGTTGAAACCATTGATTCGTTGCTAAAACAAAAGATTATTTTACATACAGAGTGGTGCGTTTTTGTTCTGACCAACTTACTGCAATTAAAAACATTCAAATCTTCGACAATGCCTTCGTTTCCTCCACCGAAAATGATGATCAAATCTTTGACAGCTACTGCTCGATGACCATGCCGTGGTTTGGGATTCGCACCGCTTGTTGTTTCAAGACGTTTCCATTGAACTTTAGTTGTCATCACATCAGTCTCAATCTTGATGATCGGATTCACCGCAAATTAACACACAAATAAAGGATATAATGAATGAAAAGTGTAGACAGAAAGAAACGAGAGTCACTAACTAGCAGCCATTGCAATCACAGATAAATCCATACCTTTATCAATAATCTAGTTTGACACTTCCTCGATTCTTCGAATCAAAACAAGACTTTTTCGAATTCAATTCAATTATTCAAGTCTTTCTGAAGTCTTAACAAAATACGACTAAATTTTGTTTAATAAATCACCTATGCACTTTGATTGACCAATCAGATTTTTTTCTTGCAAAGGAATCACCATAGTGAGATGAAATGAAAATGAATGATTTGTCAAGCGAGAGCGAGAGAGAGAAAGAAAGATTCTTTTTGTTTGTCGTAAAACTGATGGAAAAGCCTGAACTTGAAACAAGTCGAATCCATGGGTTTACGTCATGGGTTAACATGCGATTGTTGCCCTATGATAAAGGACTTGGAAATGTTTTGATAGACTTGATGAAAGGTACGAATATGAAAATGTTATTACAAAGTGTCACTGGAACAACGACAGAAAAGATTCAATCATTTGAAAAACTCACAACTGAACAAATTCGAACACGATGCGAATGGGCAGTTAAACATTTAAAAGAACAGTATGATACGTTCGCTATCGCTTAGAAGAAATCAAATTGAGTTGTATTCTAGTCAAGTGATTCCCGAAGGTGTCTATGTTGATTCTCAATTATTTGCCGTTCGAAATGCCAAACATGTCTGTAACTAGAAAAGATAGAGGATTTTTCATTTTTTGAAATCCATCGCAGGTTTTCGATCTTCTTTGGCGATTAGTTGAGCATGATATTTGGTTCTTATGGGAACGTATTGACTTTCTCCTTCAAGACGACGCCAAAGGATTGCTCGAAGTGCCACTTAAAGTATTCAAGTGAATTTCCAAATGATTTCTTTGTATCCTGCTCAATTCTAGTGGATTCCAACTGGTCAATCGACAGACATTGGAAAATCAGCGAGAAATCGCGCAATCTTAAGTGGTTATGATGGGAGTCAAACTGGTCGAGTAAGACGTATGTGTGTCTGAACGATTTAAAATGATGTGCTGATGTTTGCTTAGCCTGACCAATATTTGGGTAAATTTAACGAGACTGAAGCAATGGTGGCTTTTTCGAAGCGAAATCTCACAAAAAGATATCCGAAGCCAAGTATATGCCTTATTGAAATAATTCAACTCGTTTTACAAGTAACTACTCTTGTTTAATTTCATCTATTGAGCTATTGCGAACATGTAGAAACGTCCCGAAGGACGACGGATCAGTTTTACAAAACTAACTGAACTATCCGATATTCGCGTGATCTGCAGTTTGATCAACTATTTCGTACCAAATCTTATTCCAACTGAGATCTTGCTCAATGACAGGTTCGATGATAATCTCAAGCCAGATAATTTGTTATTGCTTGATTAGATGGGGGCTGAATTTAGCTTTAGCAATTATCGATGATGTTCTTTGCTGTAAATCGTATTTAACTTCTGAAGATTTCGTTCTCGTAAGTCGAGAATCGAAGGAATGAGCAAACTGAATTCTCACTTTTCCTTAGGTCGATGAAATGGCGATCTGTTCATTCATGTGTTACTTTTTTCTGGTATTTTTCAAGTACCGTCAAGGTGAAATGGCCGTTCGGCGAGCGGTGAGTTTAAAAAATTGTATTCAAAGATTTGGAAATATTTGTTCACATCCAGGACGAACTTCGTCGAAAACAATACAATGCTTCTCAGAAACTGCGTAAATTAGAAGAAGAAGGGAATACTGGGATGGACAAGATACAATTAGAACAAGACATAAATCAATATAATTTCGGTTGGAAAAATTATTTTAGTCTTTAGCTGACTTTTGGTCTGTAAATCTTTTAGATCTGACTAATTTGCGGAAAAATTATGACTTGCGTAGTGCTGCCCAATGGCGTGATCATGTTGAACAAGCTCGAGTGAAAGTAGGTCAACAGATCCAAGAACGAGTGTAAGATAAAATTCGATTTAGGTAGTCTCGATTATTGCGAATAAATTGCAAGTACGATATGATTGGTTCGATGTGTCTGTCGAGGCAACAATTGCAGACATATGCCGACAAAAAGCAGTGAATTTAGTATGCAGGCTTCGAACGGATTAAAAGCAAAAAATCGGCTTCGATTTGTATTGAAATAGATTCTAACGGATGGTTATGCATTTTATCGAATTTTGGATGGTAAACAAGAAATTGTCACATCTGAACGTTCATTTATTCTTATACATAAACAAACTCGGCAGATTACTGTGGATAAATCCTTATGTAAAAGTAAGAATGGCTTCACAAAGATAAGCTTTGTCTGAGAACACTGGCTTATTTAGATGATGATGATAGTTTACATCCGGTTATTCGGAAAGGTAAGTGAAGAATGACTGGATGGAGAATTTGTATCGAATTCACATTGTAGCGAATGTTCGATCGATATTGGAAATTGGGAATATTAATGGAAGTACTGAAGTGAAAGCCGATCGATATCCTCAATACGAAGTAACAACCATTTTTTACATTTTTTGTGGAAATCACCAAATAAACCTCGTAGATTTATATCGATTCTCCCTCACAAAACAAATCCATCCCAGCGAAAACAACATTTTTATATCAGGTGTTTCCTGATTCTTTGAAGTTCTATCACACATTTCTCCTCAAAGCATGTAGCGAAGGTCATCAAGAGTCTGTTGATCATCTTCTCGAATTTCTTCAAAGACTCTATCCTGAATTTATCAACATGCATGACCCGAACACACTCAACACCGCTCTTCACATTGCTTGCAAACACAATCATCTCGTTGAGTGCTTCACAGTAGTATTTCCCAATCTGTAATAGCAGTTTTTTTTTCACAGAATATTGCTCGCTGCTGTTTGGATTACGGTGCGGAAGTGAATAGTTTAAATAAAGAAGGAAATACACCGTTGTTCTGTGCAGCTGAAAAATTCTCGAAATCTTGTGCCAAGGTGACTAACTTATGAGATATACCGACAAAAATTTCTATTAGGTTTTGTTTTAGTTATTGCTGGAATACGGTGCGGATATTTCTGTGGTAAATAATCGAAAGAAAACAGTCAGTGAAATATGTGTCAATGAAGAATTTCAACAAACACTGATTAGTAAGATAGTGGAAATGAAAGAACACGTTGAAGCTTTTGCTAACGCTTTGTAGCTGTGAGTGAATTTATTGCGTCAGTTATTCGCGCATTAACACAAGGTGATAAAGAAGTCTTAGATCGTGTTATCACTGATCATGTTGAAGGCCGATATACATTGAGGTAAAGAAGACATTTCTTTGTTGCTGGAGTGAGTGAATTTGTTGTTTTTTTCTTTAGTTCGCTGAATAGCAGGTAAAAGAAATCTGAAAAGTTTCTTGAAATATATTTTTCTTGAAAAGATTTATCAATGGAAGTACTTTACTACACACTGCTTGTTATTTCAATAATTTACCTGCTGTTCAACGTCTGGTGAAATTGGATGTTAATCTTGACGTGCGTGATTTTCAAGGCAAAACTGCACTTCATCGTACACGTGATATCAACATTATCAAAGTTTGTTTTAGAAATTCATTAGATTTTATTCGTTGAATCCGTTCTTTCTTTGAAGTTTCTTCTCGAATGTAATGCAGATATCAATGCTACAGATGCGGATGGTAATACAGCAATCCATGCGAAATGTGCGGGTGAACGCAATAAACCATTAGAATTAGAAGCTATCCGAGTTCTACATGAATATGGAGCTGAATTAGATCGGTGTAATTCGAAAGGTGAAACATGTTTTCATCTGGCAGCACGAAAAGGAAATACTGAAGTATTGCAGCTGTTGTTCGAACTTGACGAAACAAATATGAGAGAATCAATTCAAGCAATTGAACAGAAACCTAATGAAGAAAACATATCAATTGTAGGATTAGCTATTCGTTCGGATCATCAGGATTCAGCCGCGTGGTAAGGTGATCAGTGCAGGGGGGGGGGGCTTGTTGTTCTATAAGAATTTGCTTGTTTGAAAGGCTACTGGAACATGGGTTTATGTTCAAACAAAATGAACCAGACGAACTGATTCACGATATTCTATCAGAAACAATTACAGTGTAGGTCGAATTTGAAGTTCGTATACAACTTTGTAAGGAAATTGTTGTGTTAAGAGCTGAACCTGAATGTCTTCTACAATTTCTCAGTAAAGAAGGAAATGCCACCTTTTCCAACGCTTATGAGGATGGAAATAGGTAAGATTATCGCACCACAGCGGAGTGGTAGGATTAGTCATTTTCATTTTGTAGTACACTCCATTTGGCAGCAGCAATGGCCACGATTGAACCTTTGAAGTTCCTTCTGTCACTTGGTTTTGATCCCGATGTTGTGAATCAAGCAAAAGAAACGCCATTATTTGTTGCAACTCGTATCAACAATATCGATGCTGCATGTGTTCTTATCGAACATGGCGTCGACTGTCGAACAAAGAATGATCAAGGTAGATAGTCTTTGAGATTGACGGAGATCAGTCGTCGAAGAAAATCGTTTAGGTTACACAGCATTTGATTATATTCTTGACATTGATGAATGGCTAGCATCGGAGAAATTCGACGAAGAAACACATGCTCGCCTTCGAGCGTACAAATACAAAAGTATTCGCACTCTTATCTACAACGTAACAGCAAAACTTAATCAGGAAGTGAAGCACAGTGAAGTAACGAAGTGATATTAGTTTTCTACTTTCAAATAAATATTCCATTTGATCCATATATATAATAAATATGGTGCCGATTGTGCTACATGAAAAATAAAACAAGGCAAGTTTTTATTAAAGTCGTGAAAGTTTCGAGTTATAAATTTCGCAGTTTTGATCGTTTCCATCAAGAATGAAGTACATGTCTAGCTGTTCGCCTCCTCATATATTCGTGTACGCCAGCAGACGGAGAGTTCATATGCATCCATGTTGGTTTCGATCACATTCTCATCGTCGTCATCAGGTACAGATATATCTTCATCGGAACGGTTAGTATTTTACGTATTGGTGAAACACCTCGTGATTATGGAGCTGCACCAAAAACTTAAAAGAACATTTCAGTACAACACTAATATTTACCATTTGATATTTTCTATAGAGTAGGTTCTATAATTAAATCATATATCTATTGAAATAAACTTCACAAACAATATATAAAAATACATATATCAATTATTATAATCATCCATCAATGTTTATCCGAAAAATTGATAATATATTGAAAAGTTTGTTTTTTCATATCTCACTATACATAAATCAATGCAGATTTCATAATTAAAAGGTTAGTTTTTATTTTCATTTAACATCAGTACATTGGGATATTTACACAATGAAATATGCCTATACACTTGAGAGTAGCATATAAGATGCACTCTACGTTTTGCTTTGTTCAAAAAAAGAAGCTAATGATTTGTATTTTCTTTCTAGTCACAACGAGATACCGTTTTTTTAATTGAGTCGTTGAATATCAACAAAACACGACGGATTAGCCCATAGAAATCTTTCATAGCTTGTTTGTTGATCAATCAATCGATGTTCACTTAAATGATAAATAATATAATCGATTCATTTCTGTATATTAGACCACGATGATAAAATATGTTTACATTGAATAAAACAAAGACATTTTAATTAAGGAAAATGTTCTCTATTTATAATAGAAATAAGAAATTGAACCATTATTTCTTTATTTAAGTATTCATTTATAATGGATGAACATTCAATATGCAATGTTGTTAAGTTTTGAAATAATTTACTCAGATATTGATTATTATAAGCGTTAAGATCCAATTCATGTACTAATAAGCAATGTTCTTGTATTTGGTAATATACGAAACCAACGAATCATTTCTAAGATGAAAACAAAGTTTGGCAACAAATGATTAGTTTAGTGAAATATATAAACACACGTTGAATATCATAATTCCTTTTTCTGAAAGAAAGGGTTATACAGCGTTTAAATGCTGTGTTAAAAAGCTTAAAGTTTGTCTGTCTGTCTGTCCTATCCAATCAGAAATCAGCATTTCTAAAATCAATGAAATTGATAGATAGTTGCTAGAAAATGATTAACAGTAGGGTAATCGAAGTCGGGGATCACGAATCCCAGGTTAGTGTTGATTAATTAATTATTAGTTTTTCATTAACTAGCCACGACTTATTAACATCCATTGCCAGAGTAGACCGAAGGATTTCTGACGTCGGGAAATTCGAATTTGAGGGTGAATTTCGTCTTATTCGCTGAGCCTGCGCTTGTTCTTTCCTCTTTACAAAGGAGATGTTTTTCTTTATCTGTTCTAAAATCTTTTCGTAGATGATGGTGAGCTGAACGCTATTCACGGACGCCATGTGTACAAAGATAGTAACTCAAGAACTTACATGAAAAGATCTAATGCATTGTGCATAATGATGTTTCTAATTGAAGAAATCCGAAAAAGTGATATGAGCTTAGTATCATCTTTGCTTTGTAGGCTACATACATCATGTCCTTTCATGGAAATTTAGTAGAAGTAGTTCGCAAAGCGATATATCCGTCGGTGGAATTCCATCTTAGGAACTACAGACGCGTGGACTGTAGAAACAGTATTCTGAACACATACAGCACTATGAAAGATGTTAGTTTCGAAGCAAATCATACAATAAGACTTTCTTATCTAGTTTCTTTGGGTAGTCGAATAAAAAGAAGGTCATGACTGTCGAAGCGACAATAAAAGAAAACCCAATCGTTCAGTTTGGAAGTTGATCAAAGGCGAAAGGAATAACAGAGACAGCATGGCAACGGCTAGTCGTGAGTGACCGACCGGAGGGAGGTCGACGAACGACTAGGTGTTTAAATGCTAGATTAATCCTAAAGTGTACGCTTAGAATAACCTTGCCAGGCTTCAGATAATTTTGAAAGGGATTTGACGAATGGATATTCTTCAATGAAAATATTCGACAAGGTATCATTTTGTTGACAGGAGAGAAAAGAATCGGTTTATCGCTGGAAGACACAGGCGAATGTTCAAACTTTTCAAGTAGTCTACTGTATATCATCCGTCTATGAGTGACTTAGTAAAGCATTTATGAAAATTTCCATGCGCGTGATGTGACAATAGAAAAACAGATAACAAAGGTCAATGGTTGGCCGTGAGTGGCCGTCTGACTAGTCGTTGAGCGATGAATTTTTCAGTCAACATAGTTAGTGCTGGAGAATTATCCACTGACAAATGGCTAATCGGTCTGATTCCTAAAAAGACTTTTGCAACCTATTCATTCTAGTGTGTGACATAGTGCCATGATTCAGTTGAGCACTAGTAGCAATCGCAGTGCGTTTTTCTCTTTCGAAGTCTCTGAATGTGTTCAACATTCGGAAAAGTCTTTCAGAAAAGGGTCAGCGAATCCACAGGATGAGCGTTACTTGTTATCTAGTCGATTATAATGACCGATCCACAATATTCTCTATTTTTCTACTCCTAATCGACTTCAATGAAAGCGTTTATTTTTACATCATGCTTAATACCAATGACATTCTACCAGAGACCGGCGGTATGCGGTACCAACACCGTACCGTACCGTACCGTACCGTCTCGTCCCGGTACGGTACAGTACGGTATGCGGTATTAAATGGCTATACCGCACTCCCGCGCCATAGTCAGAAGAAGCCTTTTAACAATTATTTTCGAGGATATGTATCATAGTTTTTTCATTCGCGTTTAAATCTTGACAGGAATTCAATAAAACTAAACATTTCTCCCTCTTTTATTCTCATCTTTTATATTTCTTGTTCTGTTATCAAAAACAAACGAACATTAATTCGATCCTAATACATCAGATTACGATGTCAGTGAACTATCATCATTGTCGTATATTTACAACCAATTGATATCAATAAATGCTGTAAGAGAAAGTTTATCATCACCAACCTTTTGCTTTTTCTCGTTAATGATATTGTTTAATGAAAAGCACAGATAAGTAAGTCATCGACTCTTTTACTGAAACCAAGCTAAGGT